TTTCAACTCTATGGAATCCGTGTCATTAAGTGACTGCACATACACAAAAGCTTTTTTGAAGTCCTCAGTAAGTAAGTTTTCTGAATATAAAAGGAATCCTGTGTGTAAAACAGTTGAGAACCTTTGGTTTAATATTTTATTGTCAAGTAAAAACTATCATCCGTGTGTGTGATTCTGCTTTTTGAAGCATAAGATCCACTTTTTATCTGTACATTGTAGTGATTATAAGAATGGACTATCACACTGTTGTGTACTGTAGAGTCAGAACTAACTCATAGCTGACCCTCCAGCTAGCTTTTATTTTTTTATTTTTTTTAAAGGAAGCAAGTTTAATGAACTGGAAATCAAGAAAGGTAGTTGAAGGAAGGTGGTAAACTTTGTCTTGTAGTACTCAAAATCGTGGGGCTCCATAATCATCTGGCATCCGCTCAATATTGTACCTGTGGTTAGAAATGTACATGATTGGAACTCCAGGGATCTTACGGATTCTTCGTTTAAGGTCTCGGTCAACTGTGGCCACAATGTAGCACTTGTGCTGCATTACTCTCTGCACCAAGCAGTCATCTGTATTGGTTACTTTGTGTGTGCATGGTAATCGTTCAAATCTTGGATCCTCGGCAATCCTTAGAGCTACTTGATACTTCTGGCCCAGTTTCTCAATTTCAGCCATTACACAGTCAGTTACACAAGGGATACACTTGGCATACAGACAGTCCATCATTGATTGCACCAGGTCCAGTTTGGCTTTAATGGAGAAGTTAATGAAGTTGGTATCAACAAGGATATGGTATGGGGGCCCCAGCTGCGTGTTATATTGGAAGAACAAGCAGGAAGGGTGCTGAGGCACTTCTCTTTCTTTGAGAGCACTGGGATCTTTCTTTTCTTTCTTTTTAGGTTTTAAACGATCCTTTTCTTTTAGTCTCTCATCTCTGAGGCTGAGCATTCACTTCACGGTCGCATACTTGCGCGTTTTCTTTTGCTTCCCCATGTTCACACAGGACTCCTAGTCTTTCTTCTCCAGCTAGCTTTTAGAGGCAGTTAAGTAGGAGGAGATTGTCCATCCTTCTTCTGTGGAGCAACTGGTGGCCTCAAACCACACAGCTTGCCTTTGGAACTGAATAGAGGTTCGAATTCTACTGCCACTAATATCTTTCTGTCCCTCACTTTTCCTATTCATAAAATGGAAAGAATATATTAGCTCTGTCATATCTATCTCTAGGTGGTGTGAGGATTAGATATAATGTTTATGTAGAGCGTTATGGTGGCATTAATGAAAAGAAGTATTTTCCTTCATCCAGGCTAAATGTCTCACTGGTTTCTGGCTGTAACAAAATAAGAGCAAATCTGAGGGCCAAGGCCTCTCATTTGATTGGCTAGCATTCAAATTCCCACTTATTACTTACTGGGTCTAATTTGTAGAAATTTTATGAGATATGAAGACTCCAAGTGCAGCAGAAGGAATTGTAGATATTCTCTGGACTATGGGATTTTCTTTTCCTTGAGGAAAATCTTTAGGTCTGTTATCATAATTCATATTTGTTAAAACTGGTAAAATCTTTGTTAAGGACAATGGTTT